AATACCAATCAAAATTTCCACTTCCTCCCCTCTTCCCAGTTCCCTCCTGCTCCCCCACTTTCTCTCCCCCCTCCCCCTCCAGTCCTAAGAGAGGGCAGGGTACCCTGTCCTGTGGGAAGTCCAAGGCCCTCCCCACTCCATCCAGGCTTAGGAATGTATGCATCCAAATAGAATAGGTCCCAAAAAGCCAGTACATGCAGTAGAGACAAATCCCAGTGCCATTATCATTGGCTTCTCAGTCTGCCCCAGTTGTCAGTCATATTCATAGGGTCCAGTTTGATCCCATGCTCCTTCAGTCTCAGTCCAGCTGGAGTTGGTGAGCTCCCATTAGCTCAGGCACACTGTCTCTGTGGGTGGACCAACCCCTCGTGGTCCTGACTTCCTTGCTCATATTCTCCCTCCTTCCTCTCCTCAACTGGACCGTGGGAGTTCTCGGTCCAGTGCTTCAACGTGGGTCTCTGTCTCTATCTCCATCCGCTGCCAGACAAAGGCTCTATGGTGATATTCAAGATAGTCATCAGTCTGACTATGGGACAAGGTCAATTCAGGCACCTTCTCCTCCACTGCCCAGGGTCCGAGCTGGGGTCATCCCCGTGGACACCTTGGAACCCCTCTAGAGTTAAGCCTCTTGACAACCCCAAAATGACTTCCTCAATTAAGATATCTCCTTCCCTGCTCCCATATCTGTCCTTCCTCCATCTCAACTATCCCACTCCCCCAAGCTCTCCCCAACCCTCCCTTTGTCCCTTCACTCTCTCCCTCTCCCCTTCCCCCCCTCCCCCCCACCCCCATGCTCCCAACTTTTGCCTGGCAATTTTGTCTGCTTCCAATTTCCAGGATGATCTATATAAGGCTTTCCTTGGGTTTACCTTATTACTTAGCTTCTCTAGGATCGCAAGCTATAGGCTCAATGTCCTTTGTTTATGGCTAGAATCCACTAATGAGTGAGTACATATCATATTCATATTTTGGGTCTGGGTTATCTCACTCAGGATAGTGTTTTCTATTTCCATCCAATTGCATGAAAAATTCAAGATGTCATTGTTTTTTTACTACTAGAATACACTCTTTCTTATGACAACATACAGAGTCAACCCTGCAGCTTGTCCTCAATCTTAAGGGTGCTTATTAATTTTTTCAGCCTGTGTTCCCAGTGGGAATTGATAACATTAGTCTGCTGTGTCTTTCTGACCCACTGAGCGTTTAGAAATTGCAAGTTATTAATAGTTGAACATCTACTAAAATGTTACTATAGACATTTAAATATATATTTAAATTAATAATAATTAAATTTAGTAAATAAATATATTAAATATATACATTTAAATGATAACATTAAAAAAACAAAAGCCAAACAAAATAAAAGAAATATACCAACCAACTGTTGAGTCTGAAAGAGAATGTCTCTCATAGGGTCTGTCATTTAAACACTTGTTTCCTGGTTGGTGGCACTGCTGAGGGAGGTCTAGATGTGTCCTTCCTGAGGAGGTTGAATACTCGGGATGTCCTTTGAAATTTTAAAGCCGTCACTAATTTGATGTCTTCTTGCATGTTGCTAAAAACGTGAGCTGTGTGTCTCCTTCCTTGGGGATTGCTGGCCAACACTTCCTGAGGGTGGAGGGGAGATGTGGGGGAATAGTGTTCAGACAGCTGTTCATATAACAGAGATAGCACTCAGAAATGACTTCAGTAAGACAACAGCTTTATCCTAGATATGGGGAATAGAAAAGATCGATGACCTGAGCTGGGGAATCACCTTATTTGCATCAAATAGCATGCTCCTATCACAGAGTGGGGTTAGTGGTAGCACAGACCTATGAAAAGAGCTAGAGCATGTTACTTGATTAATTACCATGGGGTCCGCAGGGAAAGAGCATTTGCCGGGAACTACGTCAAGGGTCATCCTTGAGATAAATCAGGCATGGAGCCTAGAGACATCCTCCAAAAAGGGCAGGAAGAGTGCAGGAAGCCCCACTGGCTAGGGGTTCCTTCCTGTTGTTAAGTTTGGAGAAAGCTGTTTGGCCATGGAAGACTGCAACCTCTGACCAACACGGCCTCCCAAAATCTCCCCCTGTTTTATTTTACAAGGGAGAGGTGTCATCACAAGCATTGGGAAACCTGTCATCTGTGTTTTAAGGTCTAGGTCCTGGTAGAGAACCATGACCTAATTGGTAGTAACTTTAGCAATTTTGGTGATCTCTCGCAACAGAATAGAATAAGGTGGCAGGGGAACGGTGCAAACTAAAACATAGCATAATCAGAAGAATGATAAAGGGTAGTGTAGCAGCCAACCATAATGAGCTTAATGGAAGCCTGAGTCTCAGTAGTTTACCCTGAAGCAATATCTGGTTGCAGGAAGGATCATAAATTGAGATTACCTAGGAACAGATCATCCAAAGGAAATGCCTAACATTCCAACTGTTGTAAATAGGATCACCCGTTGATACTTCTGAGCCCATTTTTTCTTTTTTATATATCAATTGAAATATAGGTAGACATTTAGCCTCCTATGTCAGGTAGTTTTCTTTTGACTTGGCCTTGTTTAGCAACTCTCATGGGGGCAGAGACAAAGTACTCCCTTCAGCAGCTGCTTCCAGGTGAACGGGGCATAGGTTGTCAAAGCCCTGCAAGGTTGACAGACTAGTTAAGGGCTAGGCAATAAGGCATTTATCAGAAACATCTGATTAGCTGTTCCAGGTGAAGGGACAGGGAGCATTCACGTCAGCTGGACTGGTTCTGACTCAGGAAGTCCAGAGCTGAGCAGCCTGGAGCTTGTAGGTCCTCTCTGGATGGTGGTTGTCAGCCAAGTGGGAACCTGTTGAGATAGGGACTGGACAGAAATGTCTTCAGTTTAAAGAGAAGCACCTTTAAGTCTGCATTTAGAAGAGCAACCAAAGAAAACTTAAAATCGTTGGCTTGTGGCTAAACAATAAGTAGTCAGTGTTTTCAGAGCTGGATTAATAGCTGAGATCGAAACTAAAGCTTGTCAGAATTCCATCAAACCAGTGAGCTTTTGAAATCTTAGTGTAACAATAGCATAAAAGGGGCAAGAAATCTGAAACATTTTTTAAAGTTCCTTAAGCCATCTTTATACCTTTCCAAATTGTATCCATCCATGTATCTTAAACCTTTCTTTTAGATCCTCACTGCTCACGTTTTTCTGTCTTCAGACCTCTGTAGCTTGCATTTACACTTTCATAACTTGCATTTTACACACCTAAGTCACTTTTTATCACAATTTAAGCGACTACATCCTCAGACCTTTATAATTTGCATTTATATATCTTCTTAAATCCTAAGACATTTTCTCAGACCATAACAACTTAAGGTTTAAAGTTTACACCTTTTTAATATCTAGTGGTTCACCAGGAGACACAGGCTGTTGAGTACTGAGGGCAGTCACTGTAGAGTGAGTTCCTCTAAGAAAAGGGATAGTAAAAAGTTACATTGAAATCTATTTTGTGAGTTTATCTCTTTTCTGAGTCTGGTAAAAGGTAAACTGTGTCTAAACCTAGTCAGAGCTCTAGGAGAGTGAGGCCTGTGGCCTGAATTTTACACAGGAAGAGAACTGAGAAGGGAGCTGAAGTTTTGGGGAAAGAAATGGGTGTCTGCTATTGTGAAAGCTACTATTACCAAGACTGTATATTAATAAAACCTTTTATGAACTTTAAATATTTTATAGCTTTAAAATGCTAAATAGTCTTAAAGGTTGTTTCTAAATATGTATTTAGCATTTTTGTACCCTTTTTTACTTTAAGAGGGGAAAAACAGGGCACAACCATAATACACATGAAGAAAAACAAACTCTAATTGTATATATTATTTAATATTTAATATCTGAGACTTATTTCTGGATCTTGTTTTTAGGACAAGACAGGAATTATTGCACAAATGTCCATCCTAATATAAAACTATCCTGGAGACCTTTTGTTTTCTCCTCTGTAGTGGTGGTCACCTTTAATTATATGGTGATAAAGTCACATGGCCTCTGTCTTCTCCAACACTAGCAAAGATAATGTCCAGCCACGGGGCTATCCAGAGATGGCAGCAAGCCAAAGTATTGCTTATATGCCATATGGGATCATAGTGCATCGTCTTTTTAAGATTACCTATGTATAGATTTTTAACTATCAACCATGTGTTACTGTTGGACCCTGGAGTCCAATTACCAAGGAGGAGTTGATGTAAAAGCAAGAGGATTTTTAATTCTGTCATGACAGAGTCACTCAGCATTCAAGCCAAGGACCCCGAATAGCTGATAAGGCTACTTTTAAAGCGAAAAGCCACAGAAACAAAGGGGGGAGTCTAGGGGTTGTTCTTCATCCTAACCATATCTGAGGAACTGAGTCAATATCCTCTGACCAAGGCCGAGGAACTGAGTCAACATCTAAGGGTTATCTTGCCCCAATTCCAATAACTGAGTATCTGAAGAACATCCACAAGGACACAGGGAGATGGAAAGTCCCCAACATTCCAGTACATGCATGTGAAGTTGTTACGTCCTTGGTTCCCAGGGAAGGGGGGAGGACTACTGCTGAGAGACCTCAGAAATGGTCTCAGAGTTGTCAGAAATGGCTTTAGAGTTATCCTAGAGTATTACATTGCTAGTTTTAAGCTAAACTTTTTAAATATAGATTTAGCGGATTTTTTAATGAAATCTAATAAAAATGATCCATAAAATGTTTACACAAACCGAGTTTAACTTTTTGGCTGTTCTGTTTTTCTCTGTGTCAGGGACTCATTCTGATACAGGGTATGGGGGGAGCTTTTAAACAGGGTTGAATAAGAGAAGGGGAGAGCCAGACCCCAATTTTAGAAACACCTTTTTAATAAAATAGAACAACAAAAACGATCTAACTTTTTACTGAGCACACCAGAACAGACAAAGAGACAAACTTTCTATGACACAACTTTTTTGAGAGTTAGACAAACGAAAACTTCCCAGGGGGAAACAGTATTTTATCAACTATATAGATTTTAAACCATGCCTGATGGTCAATTTATAAGCCCTGAGATAAGAGTTAACAGTATAATTTAACTGGGGAAAGAGGAGGGAGGTGTCAGCAGAGGGAAAAGTATCCTCAGTTCAACCTGTGACTGAGTGTGAGCAACTGAGATAACGCATACCTCCGGTCTTATCTTGCTCCCTTTGATAGGAATCCAGCAGGCACTGCTGCCAGGAAGTGTTTGTGTGCGTGGTGCAGGGGCAGCAGCTCTAGACCTGCAGGGAGGGGCAGGCGCCTCTCCGTTCCTGACTCCCGTGTTGTAAGAAACACAGGGACAGGAGATTTACGTAATATAGGAGAAGAGAGAGCCGAGGGAAAGAAGCAAGTTTTGGAGCAAAGGAAAAGGAGTAGTGTAAGATTTCAGCGTGAGAGGGACTTTGGTGGGTCCCATGGCGGGCGGGTGACTGAGCAGGAAACGGCAAATTCCATGCAGATAGAGTTTGGAAAGTATGGAGTTTTATTTAGGAAGAGGGTATTAAGAAGGTTTGTGAAGGTAGGAGGGGAGAAAGGGATAGATACAGAAACAGATAGACAGAGAGACTGGGGGGGGGGGGCGGTGGCAGCTATCTGCCTCTTCAGAAGAACTGCAGGGAAAGAAAGACAGAAAGGGAAGAGAGCTGAGATCAGCTTGCCTCACCGGAAGGGAGAGATTGGGAGTAGGCAGAGTTTGTCTCTCAAAGGGACAGGGTACTTGACAGGGAAGGTCAGCATAATCATGCCAAGTAGAAAGTAGAGAATTCCTTTTTAATTTTTGATCGCTCAGACCTGTGTCTCAGCAGTAGCAACCTGCATGTTTCTTCTATGCAACATGGCAAAGATAAAAAAAAAAATGGGGTTTAATTGGGTTAATTGAAAATGTAAGCGTTAGCTAGAAATAAGCCTGGACTATTGGCCGAACATTTATATTTAATGCTAAGCCTCTGAGTGGTTACTTGGGAGCAGTTTGCAGGACAGAAACTTCTGCCTAAAATCGGGGCTTTTGTCTACTTCTTTCAGCATTAGCAGCCCATCTGGCACAGATACATATAGGCCCTGGGAACGCTGCCACAGTCTCTGCGAGTTCACATGCGCATAGGTTATGCTGTGTTTAAAAGACCTTGGTTTTTTTAGGTATCCTCGATGCCTATTACATTCTCTCTGCTTCCTCTTCTGCGGGGTTCTTTAAGGGGTGGGATTTGATGGTTGAGTGTTCTGAAGTTGCTCACTCTCTGCATAATGTCAGGCTGTGTGTCTTCGCATTTCTTCCCAACGATTGCAGGAGGAGGCTTCTCTAATGATGGATGAGCAAGACACTGATTTATCAGCATGGCAGGATGTCGTTAAGAGTCACTTTATGGCTGTGTACCCTCAGAAGAGCTGTAGTATTTGGTTTTACACTAAGCCCCTGTGCTAATTGGTCTCAGGTTCTTAGTTACCCAGGCACCATTGAATTTGTGTAGCATCTCCTGGAGTGGGCCTTAAAGCAAATCAGGTATTGGTTAGTTACTATCACAAATTTTATTTGACACAATGGTAACTTGTGTTACCTTGTAGGCAGGTCTCCATTGTAGGCTGGAGGGTTCATAGCTGGGTTGTTGTTGACATTTTGCTTTTGGTAGCCTGCAGAGGACTGTTTGATACTAAGAATACTAGCCCATATGGCCTCTGTGATTTTTTTTTTTGAAGTATCAGCTCTTCTCTGTGAAGCTTGAAACAAAACTAGATTCATTCTTTATCTTTTTTATTTTCTATTTTTTGAAAACATTTTTTTCTCTTTGAAATAGGATTTCACATAGTAGATTATCATAGCCTAGAACTAACTGTGTAGCCCTGGCTTGCCTCAAATTGGCAGTGATTCTCTTGCCTCTGAGAATTTGGATTGCAGAGGTGAGCCACTCTGCCAAGTACAACCTGTTTCTCTTATTGATTTCTTAGTGTGTTCTCTCTCTTTCTCTTTTCCTTTTTCCTTTATTTCTCCCTTCTTCCTTCCCTTCTTTCTCTTTTAACTCTTTTCTCTTTGTTGAGACAGTGTCTGAGGTAGTCAGGGACAGCTTCAAATTCACTACAAAATGCAAAACGGTCTTGAATGCCTGATATTGCTTACCTCTACCCCAGGAATGGTGGGATTATTTGCACATATGACCATGCAGTTTTATGCAATGCTGATAAACAAACATTGACCTTTGTGTTGGCACTGTACCCTCTGAGCTACCCCTAGCATTCTAGTCTATTGATTTTCTACCTTTGTAAACAGTGGTTTTATGAGTTAGAAGGAGATACTATTTTTAATTTAATCCAACATCAAGAAGAAGAAAGCTGTAAGTTATATAAGGTAAAAGAATGCTGTAATTGAGTACCACCATCCACCTATAATGTTTTTTTAGTGTCATTATAAAGAATATGGGAGGGCACCAGCGGCGGCCGGAACCGGACACGCACGGCACCAGCGGCGGCCGGAACCGGACGCACACGGCAGCGGCGGGCGACGTAGCTGGCACAGTGGCCGGGACCGGTGGGTACTGACACAGTGGCAGACAACGCAGGCGACAGGGACCAGCGCAACACCAAGAGCAGATCGCCCCAGGACAATTAAATCAAAGAGGTAGGCCTTTGGTTGGCGAGGTCCCTGGCAAACAGGGAACGTGGTTCTTTTCCTGAAGACCCGTCTGAGGGGTGAGAGGGATCTTGGCCCCTGGCAGGAGCCAGGAAACAGAACGAGGGAATTTTGGAAGAGGAGCCTCTGGCCAGCAGGGAAACCTGATCTGGTTTTAAAAGACCAAT